CCTTTCCCGCACTCTTTTAGCGTTGGAGCTTCGTAAAATTATTTGAAGTGGTAAGCTGACTGAAATCCTTTAGCGCATCACGAACTTAACGGCCAAGCACAAGAAGCATGGAAGTCTCCTAATGACCCGCAGAGGTATTCAGGGACCGTTTATAACCACCTCGGTAGATGCTGTGCAGCAAACCGAGTAAAATATTATGCCTCTAGCTGCTTTCAAAGTGTTCCTGTCTGCTCATCCTACTGCTGACTATCGTGATGTTTAAACCTTCCCTACCGAATCGTAGATGAAATCGTTCGTATCTCAGTTGAAAGCTAAACATAAAAAGGTGATAGCAGAAGCAGTAAAAGGTAAGTAATTGTTTAATTAATGGTGTTGAGAATGTGGCTTTACTGATATATATTGAATTTACTCCCAGCGGGTAGACCTTAGTACTAGCTAGTATGGAGAACTGAAGATGCTGTATTTCACTTAAAAATTTATCAATTAACAAACGATAACTTGTCTCAAAAAGATACGTCCAATACCACCCTCTTTGGGAGTTTCCGGATTGAACTTACTTTTAATATTCAAAAAAATGTAGTGTAAATTCTGCGGTAATTTTGACAAGGATTGGTCCTTAGAGCATTCTGCTAGATAATTCCCTCAGAATATATAAATGTTAAATAACCTAAAAAAATTACTTTTTTTTTCTTTTGGTAAATAACTTACACTGATGTGCGAAAGATTTGGGCATGTTTTCATGGTACATTTTCTAAATGGGCTGCTCACTAGCAAGTCCGAAAAAAAGGGTTTCATGGTTTTTTGGAAGTAAATCGTGGTGTTACAAGCACGCGAAGAAGCTGGGGTATTCAATCTGAAGATGCTCTCTTGGGGTGGGGGTGGTAAGAGCGGCACGTCACTTCCAATAAAAACGCAGTCATTCCCCAGTTGGCACACAGCATTAAAAAGTGTAAAATTTCTTTCTGAAATTATTTAGTTCGTTATTTTGATGATATAGGTATGATTGTTTGTTTGTTTTTTGTTTTTTGAATTTCGCGAAAAGCTACACGAGGGCTATCTGCGCTAGCCGTCCCTAATTTAGCAGTGTAAGACTAGAGGAAAGGCAGCTAGTCATCACCACCCACCGCCAAC